TGCGTCCCGGGCCGGGGCCGGCGTGTTGGCGGCGCGCCGGGGCCGCGGGCCGGGGCGAGCGCAGCCGCTCGCTGCCTCGCGCGCGTCGGCGAGGCCCGCGGGGAGGGGAGGCGCAGCCTCGCGATGCTCTTCTCGCTCCGGGAGCTGGTGCAGTGGCTGGGCTTCGCCGCCTTCGAGATCTTCGTGCACCTGCTGGCTCTGCTGGTTTCTCCATTCTGCTGGCACTGCGTGTGGATGGCCAGGCCCCGGGCCTCTCCTGGTGGAACGTGTTCGTGCACTTCTTCGCCGCTGATGGGCTCAGCACCCACTTCACCACCATCGTGTCCGTGCGCTTCTTCCAGGACGGAGAGAAGCGGCTGGCGGTCCACCGCCTCTTCTGGGTCCTCACAGTCCTGAGCCTCAAGTTCGTCTTCAAGATGCTGTTGTGCCAGAAGCTGGCGGAGCAGGCTCGGGAGCTCTGGTTCGGCCTCATCACGTCTCCGGTCTTCATTCTCCTGCAGCTGCTCATGACCCGCACCTGTTGAGTTAACTAGCCTGTCCGACGTGCCAGCGAGGGAACGCTGGGCAGCTGGAATGCCGGACCTCGGGCGGAGGCCCCACTTGCACCGCACCAGAGGAGAGGGCCTGGTCTGAAGGCCAAAAGCCACTCCTGCTTGTGCCGAGCTGAGTGCCCAGTTTTCTCTATGCCGTTCATGTCTGAGTTTGTTCCCTCAGCGAGGTTAAAAAGAGCAGCCTTAATTCCTAAAATGTATGCCCTGTTGTTTCATGCTTTCAGTGGGTAATCCTGAACTGAGATCCTGAGAAGGGTTCCAGGCCACACCATCCTGAACGCCTTTCTAACAATTGGAAACAATCTAAGAAAACGTCCTGGTGGACTCTGAGTATTTTCCATGGATCCTGGGAATGTACTCCTGTACAAAGGCTACAAAGCTGGACTCAGAGATTTCCTCCAGCCGGCAGTGCTGATCTAATCTCTCACTGCTACATCTATCCAGACCAGATGACATTAGATGTCCTTGTTAGATCTAAAAAGTGTAAACGAGTTTGTATCTCCGCCCCTGTGCCACAGGAGAGAATAACCCTTTTTTCATTCCAGTCTAGGCAGAGATGGGAGAATGTTGAATAAGAGCACGATTGGGGACTGTCTGGGTCTCTGTCGCCTGAGAAAAGAACTCTGCTGTCCAGGCGCTGCTTGGCTTCCTACCCCTGCAAGGACTGCAGTTTCCCAGACTTTTTCACCACCTTGTGGCTGGCGTTATTGGCATGCTTGAGACAGATTTAAGCCTCCCTAAAGGACTGAAGAGAGGAACGGGTGCTCTGATACTCAACAGACATTGAGACCTACAAATGGGAAGCTTGTGAGTGGCCCAGCTTTGCTGCCCTGAGGCGTTTGGTCTGATGCAGTCAGGTGCCAAATGAGAACATTTACTGAGATGAAAATAAAATGAAGGAATATTTTCCTGAAAAAAAAAAAAAAAGATGAAGTCTCCCTCTACCTCAATCCCACTCTAGGCCACCCAGAGTGCATTGGGAGCCTTAAGAGCAGTGACCTTGAACTGGGAGCTAGTTCCCCAGGCAGGAACTATGGCCCTACCCAGCAGGCTTGCCTGGCTGCGACCTGAGAGCCCTCAGTTCAGGAGAGGCCTACGGCGGGGCGCATCTCTCTTCCCCTCTTTCACTAGCTGTAGCCACTTAAACGTGTATGGTGGCCTCTGTGGTACACAGGGCACCGCAGGTCGGGATTTTTGCCTAGTGCCACGGTGGGGGTAACTGAGGCATGGGCCAATGAGTGGCTGAGTCAGAGGGACTCTGTGACTGAGAAACATCCCCCAGGCCCAGCAGGACTCTTTCAGGACGCAGCACCCTTGACCGTACCAGTGGGCTCTTGGCATGCTCCACCTTGCCAAGTTCAGCACCTTGTGGGTGTGGGCAGGACCGAGATAGAATGGGAGGCAGTTGTCCTCTTAGTATCAGGCACAGCAGGAGTTTGTTCTCTGATGTGTGGGTACCAGTGACTGTGTGAGTGAGGGTTGGCCCTTTTTTGTTGATCAGGAAAGAACCCTTTCTGGGGACCGCATGAGTTTCCAGGCAGTTTGAGTGTGTGGAGGCTGGGTGGGTGGGCCATGTAAGACGTCGACCGGATTGTGTTTCATTGCCATTACCAGGGAGAGCCAAACCCTGGGCTCTTAGTGTCCACTCATGCCCAGTTCCACCTTGCCTTTCCTCCTGTCCTCCTGCCCAATTCCCCCCACCTCAGCCTCTTCTGGGTCTCCTGGGGTCCCTGTGATCCATGGGATGGGATGGCAGGAGGTCATGACTCTACAGCCTGCTTCTGTCTGATGCTGGGGGTACCTGGCCTCTGCTGGCACCTAGCAGGCAGGGTGGGTGAACACATCAGCATCAGCCTTTGTCCAAGTGCAGGTCACCCCCCAAGGGGGAGCTGCAGGGCATGGCTAGCGTGGGGGCTGCTCTGTGTCCTCCCCACCCGTCACTGCACCAGGTTGAAGGAAGCACTTGTGCTGATGGATTCATCTGTTGCCGCTTCCCAGGACAAACTGAAAGCAGTTGGCTGTTGACTTTGGGTCAGGGCCTGAAGCTGAGGCTTCCACGACTGGCCTGTTCCCTGTATCTGGGGGCCTCGGGGAGCTGCCAGTGCTGAGAGGGCCTCACAAAATACAACAGCCAGCACTGGAGGGCTGGAGGTCAGGCCAGGAGACCTATGACTTTGAAATTCCTACAGGGGCTGTTCTGTCTGTGGGTCCCAGTGGGACACAAGTTCCAGTGATGCTTTGGGTGACAGGTGTGGGTCTTTCTGGCTGACAGGCTCCTGTTGGACAGTGGCCACATGGAGATGATTAGAGGAGACAGGCAGAATCGGGTCTGGCCGGGGAGCCAGGGAATGGTGTGGCCAGAATGAGTACCTAAGCCATGGAATCCAGGCCACATGTGGGCAAAATAGCAAATGAGGGTGCAACCAGCCCAGCTGGAGGAGGAGGTCTGCCTAGTTGGGCCACCCACACCTGCCCCATCCCAAACTCACGTCATTTGCAAGACTTGGGCATTGTCTGGTCTTGGCAGGGTGGCCTGGGGGTGATGGTCAGGTGATGTGTCCCTGGTTTCAGGGCTTAGTGACCCTTCAAGAGTTGAGCAGCCACTGGGCAGAGGAGGGGAGCTAGGGGCCCACCTGGATACATCTGTCCTTAGGGCTGTGCCCCCAGCCAGGCCCCTCAGCACCTAGAGGAAGAAGCCAGGGCTCCTCATCCGCTCTATGGTCCCAGCTCCAACGTGCTCTCCAGTTGAATCTGGTGGCTTTCTACCCCAGCCTGCGCCCTCATCTGTGAGACAGGGGTTCCAGGTCCTCTGGAGGCAGGATCCCACCATCAGACACCTGAGCCTTCTCACCCCTTTGACCTGGGAGACCCAACAGGCCAAACCTGCTGTCCTATTTGCATTTTGCACTTTGGTCAGTTTGCGTTTTCCATACTGACTGCTGTGGGGAACTTTCATATATGCTACAGGGTACAGAACATTCCCACCCCAAAGTGTCCCCCCACCCAGGGAGCCCCACCCAGCCCTCCTTGGCAGGTGGTGCCTGTGCTCATCTCAGTGTAGGAGGCCTCTGCAGAGTGCACTGTGAGGTGGATCAACTCACTTGGCTGCCTGACCCTGAGCCTCCTTCCTTCTTTTCACGGGCGCCATGCTGGTCCCTCCCTCTCCACCCGAATTTCTCTTGAAGCAAAGTACAGGGCTGCTGGGCTGCTGAGAGGGACTGGCTCCTCCTGGGGTCTATCTCTACCTGGACGAGGCTGGGATGCCCCACCCCGCCATTCCTCTCTGATGTTTTTGGCAGCTAGAGGTCAGCAAAATGCAGGCCGTTTCTCCTAGCTGTTGTGCCGCCATGAGTCAAGTTGGATTTTACATTTGCCAATGGTCAGAACAAAAATCAAAAGAACAACAATACTTTATAACCCTTTGAAATGGACATTTTCCACATCCATAAGTGATATTGTATGGGAGAGCAGCCAGGCCCAGTCACTCCCACGAGTCTGTGGAAGGTGCTGTCACGCTACAACAGCAGAGTTGAGTCCTTGGACAGGGATGCAATGACAGGGCTGAAAGTACTGATCCGTGGCCCTTTAGGGAACAGTTTCCAGCCCCTTTTTGGAGGGTCGTCTGGCAGGACCCCAGGCTCTGGGCCAGATCCTTTGTCTCTCGGGGCAGCTTCACCCTCCATTGGTGTGTCTGTAATGTGGGCAGCCACAGGGCCCCTCATGAAGGCAGTGAGCCTCGGTGTGCCAAGTTTCTGGGTGCCTGCCTAACAGATGCGCATCTCACGGGCATAGGCCTCAAGGCATGATCTCAGCCAGCAGGAGCAGTTGGTCTGCAGCGGAGGCCCTGTGGAACTGAGCTGCCACTTAGCCAGTGGGTGTCCCCTGGGTCCCACCATCTGGGACAACGATGGCTCAGGGCTGGTGTCCTGGACCACATCCTGGTGTGTCCGCAGATGTACAATGCAGGTGCTGAACACCTCCCACAAGGATACTGAGGCTACCTGTTGGCAGTGTATCCCAAGCTTGTGCTGCTTCCTGTCAGTGTGCTTGAGACAGGTGACAGCAACACCTGTTACACCTTGCCAGGCTGTGAGGAGGTACCCAGGGCCACTGAGTTCCCAGAGCACCTGCATTGCTCATGAATAGCCAGGGGTCACCAGCGGTGGAACTGCTGCACATGCAGATGGCTAATGGATGCCTGACACTAGGCTCTGAGTGGCAACCTGGGAGTAGCAGGGGACACCAGGCTGCAGATGGAGAGACTAGGTGCTGGGCTCTGAGGGTTCCAGGCATAGTGAGGAGGTCAGAGCTGGCCTCTGGAGACTTTGGTGTTGTCTCTGAGTGAGGTGGGCGGCCACAGGTGTGAATAGATCAGGGAGCTGTTGTGGTGATGGTGGGTGAGACCCACAAGGGTCCAGCCACTGCAGGTGTTGAATGGTTGTTTCTGGCCTACTGGGATGGGGGTTCCAGCTGGCAGGACAGGTGGTAGCTGCAGGACAGAGAGCAGCTATGAGGCTACCACGTTGCCCTCTCATACCTGCCCAGCTGGAGTCCTGGGGCCCCAGTGGTCACCACACAACAGGGCCTAATGCTGACCTGGGAGCCGTGGTCACACACTCTCTGCATGTGGCCACAGGGGTGTCCTCCCACCTTCTGGCATTCTGTTAACCCCTCACCTCTCCTTTTCACTGAGACCCTCCAGTAATTGAAACCACATCTGAAATTGTTGCTCATGCTGAAAGCGATAATTGCTTGCAGCCACCTGGAGCAACTGCATCTCCTGGAGTACTTTGACCTCCTAGACCAGAGAAAAGGAAAGAATGTGGACAACGTATGGGGCAGGATGCTCAAGGGACCTTGTGGGAGAGGGAGGCACCAGGGGCGGTCTTGGGGCTTTTCTCTGAAAGGCCCATCCGCCCCTCCAACTCACATACCCCAACCTGTTCTCACAGTTGAATTCCAAGGGTCCCTCCCCAGGACTGGTCCTTGAATCCAATCCCCTACCCACAGCCCTCCATTGATATATGGGTCTCCACCTTCTGTGTGCATCCCACCCTCCCAGTACATCTAGGATGCAGATGATGGAGCCAGGGAGTGCCCTGTCCAGGCCTCTCACATCCACATCACCACCCTCCTCTAAAGTGAGGGTCCCAGCTGCCCACCTTCATCTTCTTCTTCGTATTGATCACATTTCCCTAGAAGGCAGACAGCCAGAGGCCATCAGAACGGCTCCTGGCCCATGACAGGCCCCATCACCACCCCCACCCATGGTGACCACCACCAGGGCCAGGATGTGCACAGAATAGGACTTGGTCCCATCTCAGGCCCTGGGCTCTACAGGAGGAGGCAGGGACGCTGAGGTTCAGGGACCTACTGTCCTGACCCTCTCTGATGACAGTCAGGTAAACTGAGATCATGGGTGGAAAGAAAGTCCTCAACCACTTGGGCACTGCCTATCTTGGAGGGGCCCAATTGCACTCTAGTCCCAAGGGAAACTCCTGAGGGAGAGGCTGAGTCAGGCTCAGCCAACACCCCCTGCAGCTTTACTGGGAGGCAGCTCCACAGTTTCACCCTTGGGGCCAGGGCCTGAGGCTGTCGTGGAGCCTGTGCCACACATGGGTTCGCAGGCCTGGCGCTCACATGGCAGCTGTGAGAGGAGGTGACTGAGAGGAGGTTGCTGAGGGCTACACCCAAGGGCTCCATCCGGGGCTCTCTCCTCCCAGGTCTCAGGGTCCAGTCCCAACCCGCCAGCCCCAGGCTCACTCACATCCACATATTCCTCCATGGCAGCATCCAGCATCTGCAGGTCAGTGAGGAAGGTGCCCAGGAAGGGGACGACACCCTGTGCCATCGAGGTAGTTGGTGGTGATGAGCGCCTGCCCTCAGATGCAACACAGCCCATCCCCTAAAATCTCATCAACCCCAATGTCCTGCAACACCTTCCCGGGTCTCCCCCTTAGAGCAGCCGAGGACCCTCAGCTGCCACCTACAATTCTCCTCCTCCTTTCTCCATTCGTGGCCTCCAAAGGACAACAAGCACCCTCTAAGTTTTCTCTGTGCTGGATTTAAACAAGTCAAAATTCCTATGGTCCTGGGCCCCACCCTTCCCCAAATCCAAGGTAATTTCACTTCTTCTTCTGGTCCAGGGCCTTCTTCCGGTCTCTCTAATGGGACATTTCAAACACCGTTGTCACCTGAGAAGGCCTGGGGTGGAAGGCGGCCCCTACTCTCTTGATTTGGAGGCCCTCGGTGGAGAGGGAGTATCCCAGTCCTCTGACCCCTGGATCCTTTCCCCTCACAGGCCACATGCACACTCACCTTCTTCTGCTTCCTCAGCCTCATCTGGGCTCTCTGGGGGTTCTTCTCCAACTTGGAGGTCCCCACCTGCAGGGTCAGGGACAAGCACAGTGAGACTATCCTCCCCTCAACCAGTTTCTCCACATTCTTCTAACCTCTGACCTGCGTTGGCTTGTGCAATGCTCCCACCTCCTCCCAGAAAGATCTGGCCTTAGTCACACTCCAGCTCCAACACTCCCTGGAGTGTCACCTTGGGCAGGCAGTCAGGCTCCCTGAGAGGTCCTCATCTGAAAGTGGGATGGGAACCACACCTACCTCACAGGGCCTCCTGAGTTTCAAGTAGCTGTCACCATTGTTCTCAGCACCATCTCTCTAAGGAAGAGCCAGGGACCACCACCCCCTATTTCCTTTCCTTCTTGAACCTCATCATGATCCTGTGAGGTCTACACCTACATTTTCCAAGTGGGGAAACAGGGGTCCAAGAGGGCATGACTTACCCATGGCCCAACAGGATAGGCTGGCCTCCTCACTCCACAGGAGAGGTCAGCCTTCTTGCCCCACAAAAGAGGCTGGCTTCCTGTCCCCACCTGAAGGCCCTGTTTCAGCTGTCTTCACTTTTCTCTGCAGCACCATCAGTGTTCCGGATCTCATCCTCAGGACCCTTGGGTGTTCATGATCCCAGCCAGAGCCAGCAGGCTTGAGGGGGATGAGGGGGCTTGGGACACCCTCTTGAGCAGCAACTGCTTGTTCCAACCTCACTGGAATCTCTGCCCCACAAGCTGGGTTTGAAGCCACAGCAACAGCAACCTCCTCAATGATCCGCCAGCAAAGTTCCCTGCACAGAACTGTCTCTTCCTCGACTCAGGAGGTGGGCTCCTGAGGTGAGGTGCCATCTCTGACAAGGCAAGGTATTTCCAGGGTACTGGGTGGTGACCCTGTGCCTCCTCATTGACCCGGAGAGTCCTGGGACATGGCCAAGAAGGACTCACTAGGAAGACATGAGCCCCCAGATACTCCCCAAGTGCCATTTAGAGCACTTGTCCCTCCTAACTGGGCACCACGGGCAGAATTCTGTGACATAATTGTTCAGCAGTGTATGCAAAGGGCAGAGTGCGGAGGCCCAGAAAACACATATGTCTGTCCCCAGTGTGCCCATTGGTTCCCAGATTCGGGAAGCCCGTCAGATGCCCTGGCCTGAGAGTCCCATGCCGTCCCCATTCCTGGTGCAGGCAGGGTGGCCACCACACTGAGATGCAGTGTAGATAGAAGTAGCATCAGGGGGGTCTGGCTTCCTGGGGAACTTCTGGGCTGGTCAGGGAAGGGAGATGGCCCACCCACCACATCTACCCCACAGCCTGCTGGAAGCTCCATGCCCACAGGATCGACCATCTGGGAGCCAGGGCCCCACTTGTACTGCAGCTTCTCACACTGACTCAGCAGCCCAGCTGCCATCACCCTTTCACGACCAGGGCCTCCTGGCTCACCCACCTGCCAGGAACAGTAACATCTTTTTTTCTGTCAATCCAGACTAGACATGGTTGGTGACCCATTTTTCCAGGGAAACTATGAGTGAAATAAACACATACCGACACACACACACACAAACACACACACACACACACACACACACACACTCCAGGATTCTTCCAAGCTCACCCCTTCCTCTCCCTGAAATACCTGCCCAATCTCAGCCTCCACTTACCTTGATGAGTGGATCTCTGATCAGTACCTTGTCTTTCCCACACAGGTCTTTAAAATGTTTGGAACATTTTCTGAAGAGTGGGATAGAAGGAAGTAGAAATGTGGGAATAAAGGGGAGGCAAGTAAGTTGAAATTCCTTTCATTTGAGAACCCCAAACACCAAACGGGCAGGATAAGCGTTTCCACTGGGGAACCCTGAGCCCTAAAGGCTCCTTGAGCCTCGGGAAGGGGAGCTTTTGCTGGTCACCTGGGACCATCTCCATGTCAACTGATCAGCTGTTTCTACAGTTAAGATTTCAGTCAGGCAAAGAGTTGCATGGCTCTGTATAAATACTTCAAAGTCTTCAGGTGGTCCTAGCCTGTACCTGCCAGTTAGTAAAACTCATTCTTGAGTTGGAAATTAAGTTCTAAGGTCTAGGTTTAGCGAACCAGCCTCAGTTTAGAGACTGTACAGGTCTGGAGCCCCACTAGCCCATCCCTGCCTTGAGGGTCTTGGCCTTCCTGCACCTCTCTGAGCAATTGTGGGACATGGGCCGACCCATGGGAGTCGCCTGGTGCACCCTGGTGCTGCTGTGGCCTGCCCACCTGGAAACTGCTCTCCAGGTTTTCCTCAGGCGATGAAGTGGGAAACTTTCTAGGGCCGAGAGGATGGCGTGGCTCGAGGAGAAGTTCCCCAGGCCAAGGCACTCCTGGGAAGAGAATGAGCTTGAGGTGAGAGCTTGAACCCGACAGCTCCAGTGTCAGTCCCTCTGCTGACACATCCGTCCTGGATGAGGCTGTGGCCCAGGGAGCCACAAAGGAACGCACCGGGAGCAAAGAGCCACTCTCAGCAGCAGGATGTGGGTTCAGCCCAAGGAAGCAGCCCAGGTAGGAGTGAGCAGCCCCCACTCTGTCCTGGGAGTCAAGGTCAGTGTGCTCCTGGCATGAAGGGCCAAGGCACTATGCAGGGCTACATCTACAGACGAAAATCCTGAGAGCTGAGAGGAGAAGCAGTGCCCATGTCTCAAGACACGGAGGCCCCTAGTCTCCACCACTCACCCTGGCCACCTTGATCCAGTGCTCCATTGTCTTGGCCCTGTCCTGGGCATTCATGCTGTGGTCCCCAAGGCAGGTGGTAATCACACAGCCGGCCACTTTGTTGAACTGGCTGATGGTGGCTCTGACAGTTGGTGCCAGGTTCTCTTTGCCCTTTTTGTTCCGCTGGCTCCAGATGGAGCCAAGACATTCAAAGGGTGCCACCTTACAAAACAGCTCCTGGGAGGAGGAGAGTGTCACATGGATACCACATACCTCAGCTCAGAGTTACAGACGACCTCAGGACCAGGCAGGAGATAGTTGTCTGACCTGCAGTTCGAAAAGCTTTGGAATTTGCTCTAGATTTGTGGAGTCCCTGCATTTGGTCCTTTGCTCACAGAAGTTACCAAATGCTTGATGGCCTAGAACTCTGCACCGTAGGAGAACAAACTTTCACAAACTCCAAGCCTGCTCATTCTGAGATACCTAACTTTCCTCAACCCTACTAGCCTTCAGTCCTTCTTTTTGTTGCGATGGACATCCCTGAGACAGCTGCAACTAGAGGATCTGTCTGGGTGTTTGCCATAGAATCCAGTACACATCAGGTGCCTCATAAATGCTGAGATTGGTGAGTCTCTGGGTAGATGGGTGGCAACACATGGACTTGCCTGCCATCAGTGAGCCCCCGTTACCACTACATATGCCAGGCCCTGGCTTTCGGTCTCTCCCATCTCATTTGATTGACACAGTTGCACTGTGCCACTGGAATTGCTTGTGACCCACCCTTGCTGTTACATGTGGGCACAGAGGGCTTCTGAGAGAAGATCCTCATGCAGATCACACAGGTGGTAAGACGTGGAGCTGGGATTGGTCCCAGGTAACTGAACTCTGGTGAGGGAATGGCTGGTTGTCCGAAACCCGGCCCCCTGCAGCCTCCCAACCTCCTCCACAGAGTTGAGCTGCTTACCGAATCTTTGAGTGTCAACTGCTCCGCTACCAGCTTAGGAGAGAACATCATGACACTAGGCAGCTGCTCTTTGGTCTTGCTCTTTTCAGTCTCAGTGCAAACGGAGGTAGCCTCTGGAGCCAACTGTAGCTCCAGGGTCATCACTGAAGGTGGCCTTTCCTCTGGTGCTGGAATGAGCCCTGGTTCTGGCTTCAGATCAAGTGGTAGTCCTGGTGCTGGCTCCATCGCTGGTGTTGGTTCGAGAGCCAGCATTGGTAGGTTTTGCATCTCTTGCCATGGATCTATAAACGGAATAAGTGGATTGCCTCCTTCAGTCACTTTCCCTGCCTTCCCAAACACCAACAACCTCAATGATATTCAGAGAAACATAGACCACCACACACCACCCCAAAATTTCCAAACTGCAGGCCACCTCACCATCTGCCTGTGCCGTTGTAGGATTTGGAAGATTTGACTGGGCAGGAGCAATGTGCAGAAGATACTGTAGGCCTAGTTCAGAAAAGGAGAACTGCACATGGGGCACCTTAAGCTTGAGTGATGGAATGTTCAGCGGTGGATAGAAATCTTCCGTGCACTGGTGAGTCCAGGTGACAGAAATGGAAGACAAGGTGCTGGGGATGGCAAGAGAGCAGCAGAATCAGAGGCCTGGCCTTTCCTCTCAGAGCATTCAGACCTCTCAGAGCACTCTGGTGTGGTTCTGGCTCCTGGCCTGCCGCTGCCTGTCTAGGGACCAGCCCCACCAACCCAGCTCTCTGTGCTATCCTGGAGGGGTAGACACCTGTGGGCCAAGCTTCCCACTAGCAGTCTCCTGAAGGCCCAGGGTACCCAGGGCTGAGACTCTAGGCTTGTTTGTGAGTAGATGTCAATACAACTTCATCTGGACCCCCTGGTGCTGCAACAGGGGTGCATGTGGGTGAAGGAGGACAGGCAGAGCTGGGATGGGACTGTCCAGGGGATATTGCTCTCTGGGGCTGACTCTGGGCTCAGCCTCCCCTCTCAAGGCAGGGGGCTTAGGACCCCAGCAACAGTTCTGTTTGATTTTTTTCTTCTTAAAAGAGAAGCCCCAAAATCAGCCCTCTTGTGGCACTCACAAGGTGTATGAAACCCTAGGTTCTATCAGTCTCTCCCAGCCACGGAACAGATGCTTTGTCCATTCTTTTTGAGACACAGAGGTCCTTCCTCTGGACCGAACCACCACCCATCTTATACTTGGTCCTGGGGTCTGTCATCCTGATCAGAACCTGGGAGTATGCATTGATTCCTAGAGGAGGCCATGAGGGCATCATGGACACATTCTGTGTCCGTGACCTGCTTATGAGGTCTATTGTGCATGTCTGACTCCCTGTGTAGAACTAAGGCCCAGACATTGTCCTCTGCTTTGTTCATCCAATTATGTCAAGTGTCTAGAAACGTGCCTGCACAAACTAAGTGCTTTGCATGTGTGTGTTTAACAAACGAACACCACTCAGACCCCTCTTGGTTATCTGCATGACCAGGAGCTCCTGTTCCAGCATTCAGGGAACCCTGTCATATCTGTGTAAAGGACAAAGACCAGTTGGGAGGAATACCAAACTTCCGTTACAAATACAAAAACATATTTTCATTCTCTGTGCTTTTCAAACTTCAAGGAATATGAACCGTTGAGGCATGACACAAAGGGTTTCTTCAGTGTGGAGGAGAGAAAACTAATAAATGTGAACAGCACGCCCAGCAGGTTTCCACAGAGTCAGGCACTGGGGACCCACTTGCCATATCTTAATCTTTTCAAAATCCCTCTGAGGTTCATCTTCTCACAGCCACATTTCAGAGGGTCAAACTGGGGCTGCAGTGACATCTCCACAACAACGCTAGGAGGTGCCAGCCTTGCCACTGTGTCTCAGAGGGAATGGATGCTCACCTGCCAAGCAGCTGCTCCAGGAACTGTGGGGTGGTGGCAAAGCCCAGGTAGGAAGCCAGGAAGGTGGTGAAGGAGAAGATAGTTTCCCCCTGGGAGACTGGAACCACGGACTGCGCCAACGGCTCCCTTGTGCCTGGTTGTGGAATCGGCATCATTTGCAGCGCATCTAGATTTTGGGTCTGGGTAGATACATGTTTAAGCTAAGGATACAAGAGTGGCATACAAAGTCAGTGATGCCACCACAACTTCCAGAGGATGCAGGTCCTGAACTCAGACCAGGAACCCCTTCAGAGGCCTGTTCATTTGGAGGACACGCTATCCACGGCAAAAATGTCCTAGGTATTCATGGTAAAATTTGATGTGGGGCCAGGAATTGATTAAACCACTACAAGGTTCAAAGCATCTTCATTGTATTTGATCACCTGTGAAGCAACAGCTCTGCCTGTATTAATGGGCTCTATGAAGAACATCATTCCAGAGAGTCCCCCAAAATCTTCTCATTTAAGAAAGAAGAAAACACAGGTTTTGGGATGTGAAATGGCTGCTAACCAGCATGTGGGTTGCTAACCAGCAAGAACTGTATGAAATTCCTACAAGCAGGATTTTGCATAAAGACTTCTTTGCTTATGGGTACTTAACCCATCTTCATTTCCTTGTATTACTTCAAAATTCTGCTTGTTTAAAAATAAATTTCCACTTATGGCCAAGATGGAAAAAAAAAGAAATTCCTACAAGCTTTCTGAGCCTCGGTCTGCTCCTGACGTGGAGGGGAAGGACCTGGGAAAGCCTCTTTTCCTGTTAATTTTGGAGATAGTGCACAGGGCAAGACACCCTTGGAAAACTCTTTTGACCTAAAGCAGCATATCTGTTTTTCCTTCTCTAACATGAAATGGAGTCTTCAGATACAGCTCCAGCAATCCCACACCCATCAAGGGGCTGGTACTGGGAGACTACAGGGTGGGAAAAAGCCCATCACAGAGTCAAGGTTCTGATGACTCATGGTAGAGAGAATCTAAACAGGTGTTCAGCAATTTAAAGAGGCGACTCACATGTATTAGTTGGGAAACTAGAATGAAGGGACAAAGTGATTTTATTTGCCACATAGAGACCAGATTGCTA